GCCAGATGCGGGGCTCGATCCCAGGACCCTGGGATCATGACCTGAGCCAAAGGCAGACACTTAACAGCTGAGCCACCCAGGCACCCCTGACATGGGTATTTTTAAAGTGATATCTTTAAACATTCTTATTTTGTCTTTTTCTGATATTTCCTTTGGATTAAATTGAGATTAGGTGTTCTCAGCGGGACAGCATAGGTGATGTTAATTTTTGATCACCTGGTCAAGGTGTTACCTAATTTCCCCACTGTATAATTACTGGGTTGTTTTTTTTTTTTTTTCTCCAGTGCAACTAATGATCAGTCAGTGGGGAGACACGTAAAGACCACATAAACATCCTGCTCTTCATCAGAATTTTCCCCGGATTTAGTGTCCACTTCAGTCTTTACCACAGTGATTGCCAAATGATGCTTTCCCAAGCCCAGCACCCACTCCATACCTATCAGCTGACCCTTGGAATTCTCCCGTGAGCCAGAGGAGTCCTGCTTCTCTGCTCTTTGCTACTGGAGCATCACTGCCTCTGGGCTGACGGTGTTTTTAGTCAGTCTCCGGAGGTAGAGACAACCTTCAGCCTTCCCTGCAGGGCATCATCCAGCCTTTCCAAAGTCACTGCTCGGTGTTTCCCTGTACTTTGTGACCAGGATATTTGTTAGCAAGGAAACCATGCTTTCCCTTGTTGCCAAATCCTCTTTCTACTTAACTGTCATTTTAGCTTTTTGTCATTTCCTTCAGCTCTCTCCATTTCCTTGGTGAGGCTGCCTTTGGTTAAAGGGGAGTGTAAAATGTTAATCAGAGTTCTCTGTGGTTTCATGTTTCTGCTGTTGCTTTAGGTGGACATTGTAATGGAGGAGCGTGTCCTTGGTCAGAAACCCCAAATGCACATTTTCCTTTTCTGCATTTTCAGTTACCGATGCGATGCTTGGGTGTCCCCAAATTCATGTGTTGAAGCCTAGTCCTGCAATGTGACTGTGTTAGGATGTGGTGGGCCTTTGAGAGGTCATTAGGTCATGAGGGTGGAGCCCAGTGGAAGGTATTCGTGCTTTACGTAAGGGGTCCCAGAGAGCTCCCCCATCTGTCCCACCATGTAAGGACGCAAGAAAAGACATCTCCGACCCAGGAAGCCCTCACCAGACACTAAATCTGTCTGCATCTCGATCATGGACTCTAACCTCCAGAACTATGAGAACTAAATTTCTGTTCTTGATAAGCCCTGTCTGTGGTATTTTGTGATAGCAGCCCAAATGGACTGACACACACACCAACCCCTAACTGACGTCCCCACCATTATCCGTCCCTGGGTGGTTCTTCATCCCCCCCTTACATGTGTGCTTACTTGGGCCCAGCCAGCCTGCTGGCACCCCCTTCCTCTCTGATGCTTCCCAGTGCTGCTGTTGAAGTCCCACCCTCCCCTCAGACCCTTAGTACTACAGAATTACGGCAATGGACTTGTTGCCTTTCCTGGCTGGTACAGTAGTACCTTTGGCACCCATAGGCACCCCAAGTAAATGTGAGTCCCTGTGGAAATAGGTGCCTGGCTCCCCAGCCCCACCAGACACCCTCTGTGTAGAGCTGGGGCCCACGGCTCGTGCCCAGGATGGTGCATGTCACCCTCATCAGTTAGAACTGGTGATGCTCCCTGCTGTGTCCTCCAAGCAGAGAAGTCTATGCCCTGCATAACACCTAATAAAACCTGCTTTTTGGCGCTGCTGGATTTGTGGGATGTGTGTATGTTTTCAAAATACTCAATACAAGGTACACATGTAATTTTAAGTTTTCCCATAGGCACATTAAAGAGTGTAAAAAGAGGGGCGCCTGGGTGGCTCAGTCGTTAAGCATCTGCCTTCAGCTCAGGTTGTGATCCCGGGGTCCTGGGATCGAGCCCTGCATCGGTCTCCCTGCTCAGCGGGAAGCCTGCTTCTCCCTCTCCCACCCCCTCTGCTTGTGTTCCCTCTCCCGCTGTGTCTCTCTGTGTCAAATAAATAAATAAAATCTTTAAAAAAAAATGTAAAAAGAAATAGGTGACATCAATTTTAATAACATTTTATTTAATTCAATATTTCTACAATGTTACCATTATATCCGTTTTTTTGGATCCAGTCTTTGAAATTCGGTGTAGATTTTAGGCTACAGCACACCTCGATTCAGACTCACCGCACCTGAGATGCTTGGTGGCCTATGCACTGAGTGCTGCCTTCTTAGACATCCCAGGGCTAGAGCAGCAGTGACCACAGGCTGTGTCAGGAACCACGGGGTCCACGCTCTGTTCTGCACACTTGTCCCGAAGCTCTTACTTTCTGCCCTGCCCTTTCCCCCCAGACAGAACTGCTTCCTCCATGGGGAAAATTGTATGTTTGTCTAGGAGATTCTGAACGAGGTACAGTGACCCTGTGTGAATCTGCGCTTCTTGTGAGATCTGTGCAGAACCCGTCCCTTCTCCCACTGCCTAGAACTGCCAATGAGAGGCTCCTTCTCCAGGGGCATGCAGCCACAGGCCAGGCGCTGGCCTTCAGGAACAGTTTTGGGAAGATGAGGTCTACTCAATGAGAGCCGCCTGGAAAGGAAACTCAAATAGGATTAAAAAACCAGCAAGGGATGTGGAGGCTTGTGGATGTGCCGGGTGTCCATGTGGTCTTGGCTAGAGGGGCTATCCCAAAAGGAGAAGCTGGCTAGAAGCTGCACCCTTGGAAGACGGGGCATCACTTCTGCCATCCTGCAGGCTGGGGCAGACAGGGGCCTGTTGAGCTTCCAGGGCGGGGGGACATAGACCCAGAGTCAGGAGTGGACATGGCAACACACACAGCTGTGGTGTGCTAGCTGTGGGACCGTCTGAGAAAGTGGCTATAAACTCTACCCTTTCTAGCCGTTTAAAAATCAGGTGACCAGGTGTGCTTGTTGAGATGTGTTTCTTTCACGTGTGGACAGAATTACACTGGTTGCAAATGAGGCCCTTCCTCTGAAGCTTTCATGACCACCTACCAAGTCCCCCCACCTCCCCCAGTGTGCGTGCTCACTCAGACATCATCCTTTCTGTTTGGTAAGATCATCTTTGTTCTGTAGCCCTTGGTCTGAAGCACCTGGTATCCTCTTGGCTCAGTAGCTGTAGAAAGAACCGTTTGCAGATTCAACAGCAGCAGAGGAAAGAATCCCAGGACACATCCCAGGACATTGCTGCCTCACACCCACATCACAACATCACTGGAGTTTCAGCTGTTAATGGTTCTCTGTATTTTCTACATTTCTCTTCAGTTTCCACTCCACTATTTTTTTCTGAGCCCCTTCTGAATATCGAGTGCTCGAAAGTGGTGCAGGGTACTAGAAGGTCGAGAAGTGGCCCCTGCTTTCATTTGGCTCACCTGTCCTTAGGAAACAGGAATGCAGTTTTAAGCGTTGTGTGCTGGAAGTCAGGGCCTGACACCTGACTGCTCCCTCAGCGGGCTGGCTCCACACTGCCCCATTCCTCACCGCCCCTCAGGTGGCCACACTGGCTGCAGGGGGTGTCTGGCTGTACCCCACAGGACCTGCAGGACCGCAACGACGAGCTGCAGGCTGCACTGGAAGGCCTGCGAGCACAGCTGCCCCCGAGTTGGCATGGCCGGCCCCACGCACAGCCAGAGGAACGGCTGCCCCCTGGACACGGGCCAGCAGGTAGGAGCCCAGTCCCAGGAGGTGACAGCTTGTGCGCTCCTGCTGTGGGAGAGCAGAGGCTGGTGGCAGGGGGTGTCTATCTTCCCCCACTGCACAAGCTTCCCCCTGGTCCCGGGGGACTCTGCAGGAGGGGGGCCAGCTGCCCGGCATGTCAGGCCTCCAAGGGATCACATGCCCTTCGGACTGCCACATGTGGGAGAAGGGCCTGTAACCCAAGGCCAGGGACAATACCCAGAGGCCCAAGGGAGGAAGATGGTAAGGATTTTACCATTTGGGTAGAGTGGTGAAGGTTATGATGACCTGGTAGTGACCTCAGGACAGGCATGTCCTAGTGGGCCTCTTGGGTTATGGGGAGGATCCAGAGAGATGCCCTAGGATGAGCATTCAGCAGGGGTCGGACATAGTCATCGAGGGAAGGGAGGAGAGGGGAGGCTGGGAGTGAGCAGGGTGGTGGTCTCCCAGCCCTGCTCAGAGCACGATGTCTGGTCTTGGGTCTGTGACAGCTCTCAGAGGGAAGGTAAATGCGTAAAATGTATCAGGGACTCCTGGTATTCACAGAGGCCTCATGTGGACTGCAGCAGACAGGGCTGATGTTTACTCCCTCGATGGTGTGGAAAGGGTCGAGGTGGGGTGTGGCTGTGGCACCCTGGAAGGGCCGGCTCCACCTGCCTGTGCACAGCACTGATGCTGAAGGAGTTACTTGACAATAAAGACCAGAGCTTCACGCTCCTTAACTCTTCAGCCTGTGAGGTTTGAGACAAGCTCCAGGCACGAAGAGGCGCAGTTATTGGCTCCTTCTAGAGACTAGAATTGGGGGGTGGGGTTCAGATGCCACAGCTGTCCTTCAGGTTTCCATGGTCCTTCTGGAGGACAGGGTGGGTTTGGCTGATTGCCACCTTTCCTAGAAGTTGCATGGGGTGGGCACCATGCAAATTTACATGCTGCATGCAGTTCCATGTGCACCGCTGCTGGTGAGGGGCCTGTGGGGACCACCGGGACCACCCCGCCCCCAGCCACGTGGCTACCTCCACTGACCATGTACCACAGCAGAGTCAGCCCCTCAGAGAGCATCTTGTTCTCATCTACAACCCTTAGAGCAGTCAGAGTTCCTATATTGTCCTAAAGCTGTTTACCTAATGAAACAGGAAAAAGGGGGGCACCTGGGTGGCTCAGTCGGTTAGAACTTGATTTCGGCTCAGGTCATGATTGCAGGGTCATGAGATTGAGCCCAGCCTTGGGCTCTGCACTCAGCACGGAGTCTGCTTGAGATTCTCTCCCTCTTCCTCCACCCCTCCCCCTGCACATGGTCTCTCTCCCTCTCCCTCTTTCTCTTTTTCTCAAATAAAATAAATGAGATCTTGGGAAAAAAAAAAAGAATAAAGTTTGTACCTAAGAGAGCCAACATGGGAACCAAGTGGGGCTTTCTGTGCACTGGGTCCAGCTTCCTCAGTCCCTTAAGGGGATCCCCTCACAGCATCTTCTTTAGTGGAGTCTGATGACTTCCAAGACCTGCTGTCCTGACTGTCCTCAGCTGGGAGGTGTTGGGGTACGGCCAGCACACCGGACAACATCACATCCCCAGATTAGTGTTACACATGGCCAGGTGGGCAGCCTGGCCACAGGGAAGGGGGAGAGGATTGCTACCTCCCTTTGTCCCTGGAGGAGTGTGGGATGCATGGAACATGGGACCCTTGTCAAGAGCTGCCAACCATAACCCAGGGATCAGCAGAGCTAGGGACCCATACCTTGGGTGGCCCTTGTCCAGAAGACCTTGGACTGTGGCACCAGAAGGCAGCCCCAGCCTCTGTGTCATCACTGATCCCGCACCAGGGCCCTTTCTCCTCCCCTTTGCCCCCCCACCACCCTCCATCTGAACACAGAAGTCCCGTCTGCCCCTTCAAAGGAGGAGGGTTCTGCTGCCACAGGGGAGTTTTGGTAGAAGGGCTGTGGGGTCCTGGCGGCCTTGCCCTCAGTACTTCCAGGTGGAGCCACTCCTACCAGCTGCTCGTGCACCTGGGCCTACTTGGCCAGAACCAGGTGGCAGTTCCGGTTTACAGGGCATCGGCTGCTTGCTTTCCTGAGGTGCTTATCCTGACTTCTCTCGGCCCCATGGCCCTCACTCTGTCGTTTTTTTTCATGGCAAATCGTTAAGGCGTGTGTCATCTCCCTTCACTTCCCCAGCCCCAGACCAGCACAAAACCTGAGCAGTGGCCAAAACTCACATTTTGAGTCAGCCCTTTGGCATGTTACTCAGTAGCACCAGAAATGCCTGGTGCCCCGGGGGGTGCTTGCAGTTCCACAGGCACCTCGCAAAATGAGCTGCAAGGACGTCTGACATGGTCAGTGAGGAGAATCCTCTGGAACAAGGGGTCACTCATGTACTCTGTCCTGTGATCTGTCAGAACTTTGACTCCATGAGTATTTACTGTGTTTAACATATTGAAAACCCATGTTATTATCATGTAGTAGTAAGTAACATAAAGTCTCTAAGAAAAGGGCATAGCTAGAATAAAAAGCTTGAAAAAATGAGGCTCATAGTGCCTCATCGTAAAGCACTGACTGTCTGCAACAGGTCACACTCGTTGCTCGGTCTTCCCAGTCCCTCTGTGTGCCTGGCATCATCGAGGAACAGAATTCAGGGGGCAGTAAACGTACCATGTACAGCATCTTTTAGGGAATCCAAGGGCCTGACAGATCTTGCAGGGAGCCTCCTGGTTATATCTTTGGGTAATGTGTGTTCTGGCAAAGACTCGGAATGCTGATTTCTGAAGAGCTCCTACCTTGAGAGCTAAGCATAGTAGATTGCTTGTGGAAACCCACGAGGGTTGGTTGTCTCTGCCAGCACAGCATTCCTCTTGCAGAAAAGGCCCATGGAGGGTTGTGCGTGGTCAGGGGCATGGTAGCAGATGACTAGGCTGAATACTCAGTGCTGGCCAAATGTCGGATCGGAGGGCTGGGAACGGCCTACGGCATCCTCGGCAGGACAGAAACAGGAATGTCTCTTTGTTTGCAGGCATCATCTCATTTGTTGGTGATTCCATTCCAGTGAGTTTAGAAACAGAGATAATGATGGAGCAGGTGAAGGAACACTGCCAAGACCTCAAGATCCAGCTGGAGACCAAGGTCAGGGGGAGTGAGGGCGGCCACAGGGACACAAAGAAGCTTCCTGCTGCGTGCTGGAAAGCCTTGCTCGGCCGTGCATGTTTCCGCATGCACACGTGTGTCCTAGATCCTGCGCCCCTTAGGAAGCCCGCTCAGGGGGACAGGAGATTGTGGGGAAATGTAAAGAAAATGAACATTTTGCCTCACACCTTCTTTGGAAGGAGGCAGGAGATAAGGAATGACCAGTAAAGGGAGGGAGTGGGGTTATGTGTACCCAAGTGTCATAGGGGTCGTCGCACTGAGGCCAGACCTTGCTGCCCACTCTGCCATCAGGGAATCAGAGCTCCCATCTGTGTTCTAAGCTGATGCGACCCTGGGATTGCCCTTTGTGGGGTACTCCGTGGCCTTGTGACCAGGACCCTGGCTGAGTCTGTCTTTTTAGATGAACTTGTCTTCTGCTCTGTTAGCAGATCGTGGTGGGGTTTTGTTAAGAGACATGTCCACGACTTGTTTCCACGATTTGTTATCAGGCGTAAGAGTAGCAGCAAGGTGGGAGTGCCTGTCCTGTGCTTGTGCCTCTGGGCTCCCTGGGATGCATTAGCTGGAAACTCCTGCAGTAGCCGTGCCCTGGGGGCTGGAGGATGTTCAGAGCCACCCCTGGTCTCATGAAGGCTCCCCAGTTCTCTCAGTTGTCCCACCATCTGCCCTCCAGGTGGCCTGGCCAGGCGCCTGGCCTAACGTGATCCCAGTCTCCGTTCCCCACCTGCTGGACCTGCCTCCGGGGGCCCTTGTGAAGGTTATGGGAGACAAGGGAAGCCCGAGGCCACACTGCGCCCTGGGAGGGGCTCCACTGTCCTTAGCGCCGCTCTTTCTGTTCACAGGCCTGTGCACTGCTTTGGGTCTGGGCCACCATTCTTTGGGTGTTGTGCCTAGAAGTCTGGTATTTCTGTGTTGTGTTGCCCAGTAAGTCATTTTCAGGACCTCCTGATGGACACTGCTCACATTTCTCTTTTCAGGTAAATTCTTACGAGAGGGAAATGGAGCTGATGAGGAGAGACTTCACGAAGGAGAGGGAGCAGATGCAGCAGGCCTTCAGGCTTGAGGTCCACGTGCTGGAGTGCCGGAGGGCTGACCTGGAGGTGCTGCTCGGGAAGTCTCAGGAGCTCATCCGAGGCCTGCAGGACCAGCTCCAGCGGGCGGCCTGTGGCCCTCTGCCGGAGAGGGCGGGGTTGGGGCAGTGCTGCATTCAGGCACTATCTGGCCCAGCCGGGCGGCTGGCCCGAGAGCAGGACCCACCGGAGCAGGGACAGCACCAGAGGCATCGGAACGAGCTGCAGCGAGTCAGGTCAGGCACTGCGTCCTTTCAGGGTCTTACAGTTAGGGGTTCTTGCCAAGAACCCAGATTTGAAACTGCATCAGGAAACTGCTCAGAATTATAGTACCTGCTAACGGGGTGCTTTTTTTCAGGGCAGGTAGGTGAGCATTGAAAGAACAGGTCAGGGGCACCTGGGTGGCTCAGTCAGTTAAGTGTTAGACTCTTGGTTTTGGCTCAGGTCATGATATCAGGGACACGGGATCGAGCCCCAGATCAGACTTCATGCTCAGTGCCGTCTGCTTGAGATTCTCTGTCTTCCTCTCTCTTTTCCCCTCCCTGTGCTCACAGCGCACTACCCCCCCAAAATAATAAATATATAAAATATTTTTTTAAAAAAAGAAAGAACAGGTCATCAGGTAAGGATTGTTCTTTCGTATTAAAAATATCTGTTAACTAAAGCTTAAGAGTTAAAATTCCTTGTAGAATTTTGCCTCATACTTGCAAAGGGCAGTATGTTCTTCCTTTAATCTTCCTTTAATATCTCATTTAATTTTCTAGCACATGAGCAGATGGATGGAAGGTCTAAAACCCCTAAAACAATGGGAAAGACAAATAATTTGGGTTGGTGAGGTTCTTGGAAAGGCCAAAAGGTGTGAGCAAAGGAGAGGAAAGATTTATTTGGAAAACTGGGATATGGCATTTTGTGTCAAACAGTGTCATAGTGACATGAGAAATACCCATGTGTTCATTCCTTGTCGAGTGGGTCTGACTTGGTAGAGTGAAATGACTAGTTATCTTAGCCATGGCGCTGGTCAGTCAGCCCCTCCGTGTCTTGTGGGGAGTCTTGGACCCATCCAGTTCAGGAGGGGATGACTACACCAGCATATGTTGACCCAGGGCTGAGCGGATGGGTCACAGTGGAGTGGCCCACTGCACCGTGCTCCTCACAGAGGGCTTATGTAGGGCTCGGTGGGGTTCGGTGTTGGAGCTGAGTGCATGTGGCCTCAGTCACCCCCTGATTGCAAGATGTCGACAGCCTTTATATAGAGACTATGCCCTCCAACCTGGGTGGGATGCGCTCTCCCCTTTGGCTCAGTGATTGGAGTTAGCCTGAGTACGTAGGATGTGCTGTGAAAGAACCAGACTGGCCCCCAAGTCTGTGGGTGCTCCTCCCTCCCTGGACTCCATATGACACCAGTGGAAGGGCCCTGGGCCCGTGGGGGCTGACGGGAACTGTCGCTCTCCTACAGGATGATAAAGGTCATTTTTAAGTCATGTGCTTCCTCTGAGCTTTAAGTTATTTTCTCTTAAACCCCAGAGCTATGCGATAAGGGACTTGACCCAAGTCCCTCTAGACCCTACTGGCAGCAGATGGGCCGGTGCATGGTAGCCCCTTCCACCAGCCTGCGCCATCCATCCGGAGGACCTGCTTGCTGTTCACAGTCCTTCCCCACGCTGGACCTAGAGCCACATCCGGCCACATGTCCTGTTCTCAGGCTGGCACCAGCCACAAAGAACATGTCCTTAGTGCCCTCACCTCGGCTGGGACTCCATTCTCCCAGGGCTGTGAAGGCCTGGTGCCCAGCAACTTACCAGATTTTCAAGGGTAGCTTTGAACTGTAGGTGAGAGCCACACATCTCACTAAAGTTTTAGACCAGCACTGTCCTTAGTACTTCCTGTGATGGGGGACATGTCCTGTATCTTCTTCATCCATGATGGCAGCCACCAGCCACACATGGCTGCTGAGCCCTGGACATGTGGCCTGCATGACTCAGATACTGAATTTTTATCCTATTTAGTTATAATCAACTTACACTTAACAGTCACATGTGTGAATGGTTTCGTGTCAGCTTCTGTATGTAGAACCCAACCGTACTGAGGGCAGATCCTCCGATAGACCCTCTACAGAGGGTCCCAGGGCATGGATGGAACGCTGGGGTGCATGGGGGTGAGGGGACAGAGCAGGCCAGGCAGAGGAGGTCCGTGGTCAGGACAAGAGGAGCCTGTGAGGAGGCCTTTCCAACCTGGGGGTAGGACTGGGCCTGAGCTGTGCCCACAGCGCCTGTGACGTGCTCTGTTTCTGTAGGAAAGAGGCCGAAGTTGTGCTGAACTACGAGCTCTCAAGGATGGAAGCCCAGCAGGCTGCCCACTGTAAGCACTTTGCGCTGCAGCCTCAGCAGGAGAAGGAAGAGGTGCTCCAGAGAGCCCTGCTGCAAGTCCACGAGGTGACAGAGCAGCATGACCAGGAGAAGGAGCGGAGGGCGGGCAGGGGGGAGGAGCCCCACCCACGCTGGGGAAGTCAGCAGCGGAAGCTGCAGGAGCTGGTAGGCAAGGAACAGGCAGAGTTTTGCAGGTCCTCTGCCCTGGAGGAGGAGAAGCTGGAGCTCACCTGTAGGAAACAAGTGGGAAGACCTGTATGGGCAGCAGACATGCTGTGGGCCTGCTGGAGGGACAGGCCAGCAGTGGCGGGTCGTGAGCAGGAGGGTGCAGGCAGGAGGGAGCAGCCACTGGCCTGGCTGGAACCTGGCGATGGGCGTGGCCATGGGCAAACCAGGTGCAGGCATGTGGATGCCCAGCAGAGCCCAGCCCTAGCCCCTGCCCTGGCCCGCAGAGGGCCTTTGGAGAGCCTTGGCCTCAGAGAGGATGGTCGGCATGTGCTCGTTGCCGAAGAGGTGGCTTCTCCTCCTCCTGAGAGGCGGGCACAGGTGCACCCATGTGGGGTAGACAGGAGAGCGGTTCTGGAGGAGCGAGTGCCTCTTGCCGGCAGCTCAGCTGGTGTGAGCCAGACTGAAGCCCAGGAGCTACTCTGGGGAACAGAAGGAGATGCCTCACCAGCCCAGCCCCCACCAGTGGGCAGAGGAGAGACTGAGAGGCAGCTGGCCATTCTGGAGCGAGCTGGGCATCTGAGTGAGGAGCTGGCCCCCACGGGCAGCCAGGGGCAGGCTGTGGCGGAGCAGGGCCAGCATGGGGAGAGCACCCTGGAGCAGGGGCTGCAGCACAGCAGGGACAAGGCCAAGGAGGGCACCTCGCTCTCCCAACCCCACCTCACTGGCCCCCAGGTGGCGGGGCAGGAGCAGCTTAAGGCCCTGCGGGAGGAAGAGGCCAACACGGCTCTGGAAAGAGAGAAGGACGACATGAAAACCAAACTTCTGCAGCTGGAAGAAGTCGTTCGGGTTCTTGAGAAAGAAGCAGATTCAAGAGAGAACAACAGGTTTGGTTTCTACCCATTCTTAGAATGTCAGGCTATATACCCTCTAACCTCTCACCTCCAGCTCCACTGCATGGGCCTCGTCACAGCTGCTGATGGGGATTATGTAACCCTCATGCCTGTGCAGGGGTCATAAGCCTGGCCCCGACCCCGGGGCATCCCACAGGTCACCACATGCCCAGTGAATGGGTGAGGGCAGAGCTGGGCCATTCTGGGCAGTTCGTCTGGCCTTGGTGTCCCCTGCTCCTGTCCTTAGGAAATTCTCGCTGGTCTTACAAGGACAAAGACAGACTGTGTTTGGAACCTTGCTTCAGTTCTGGGTCGCCTGAGCTCTCTTCCTGCTGACTTTGAGCAGGACCCACTACTTTGCCCCGCCAGCATGTGTGCCAGGCACTGTCCTTGAACTGCAAGTTCCTGAGCTTCCTGAGTGGAGCAACAGAGGAGGCTGTCCAGCCCAGACACCTCCTGGGAGGCTGGGGTGGGGCATGAGTGCCCAGGGGGGTTCAAGATGCTGCTGCAGTTGATGCCTTCAGGGGAAGCCTGAAGCTGGGGAGAAGGCCTCGAGATGTTGGTATGTGGGCCAAGTTCAGAGAGCTCTACAGTCCCCCTCAGGCATCAGCTCCTGCTACCTGGGTGACCACGGGCAGTTAGCTTCATTGAGTAAAAAGATTATGTGGGATTGACATGAAACCAAAAGGAAGAAATGTCAAGGCACCACCCAGCTTAAGAAAAAATACTAGCATAGCTAGAAGCCTCCTAGGCACCAGGCCTCCTCACCTCCTAGAGGTGCCATTACTTGATGTCCCTGCCTTTTATGTGGGTGTCTCTAAACCATAGAGCACTTTGTTTGTAGTGGCCTGACTTCTAAATTTTGTCACCCATGAAGTGCAGAGGGTGCCGTGCCCCCAAAGGGCATGGAGCACGAAATGAATGTAGAACACGCACTTACTATCCTGGATGCTCCATAGCAAGTCCCAGACACACACAGGCTGGTCTTGGGCCCTGCGGACACATCGTGGGTACCTGTTCTGCACACGAGTCTGTGGCAGGCCCCAGGCAAACACAGGGAGGGGCCTTAGGCACAGAAGCAGCCCAGCACCTTGAGTCTCACTCCCTTCCTGTTGACCCCACAGCTAAAGTCACAGTTGTATTCTCAGGAGGGTCTTCACTCCTTGACAGTGATTATGGGGCATCTTCTATGTGGGGGTACAGCTAGGGATAGCAGCAGGGTGCAAGACCGGTTTACGGCTTTCAGCCTCTGGGGGAGGTGCCGTGCTTCCTGCGTGTCTCAGTGTCAGGAAGAAACTCGCTGCCCTGTTTCAAATATGAGGAAACTTAAAGGCCATGCTGCTGAGACCATGTACATTTTCTAGGGACACGTGCACAATGGTGAAAGCCTAAGGGAGTATATAGAAACGACTGGGCCAAATTCAAGCCGGTAGTTTTCTTTCTGAGAGGTGAGGTGTTCAGATCTGGGAAGGCGGAGGAGGACCTGGGGCAGGAGCAGGCTTTGCCCAGGTTAGAGGGCCTTGGGGAATAAGGAGATGGCTGTGCAGAGGGGAATGTGAATAGGAACCGGCTCTTGTGGGTATGGGGAGGATTTTTGAGAGGCAGGCTGCTGGGGCCCTGAGCCGGGCAGCTGTGGAAACATGCTCTCGGTTAGCCAGGGAAACCGGGAAGAGTGGATTGCAGGGGTTGTGGGGTGGGTGTGTAGGAGGAGGTGGGTGGAGGGCAGGGGGAGGTGGTTACTGCAGATGTCCAGGCAAGAAGTGACAGTTGCTGGGGACCAGAGTGATAGCATCAGAGGTGCAGGGAGTCAACTGGCAGGAGTGTCGAGGCCAAGTTGATGGGTTACAGGAGGATGGGATTTTCACAGGGAGATTGGAAGTGGGTCACAGAGCACTCAGAGGACTCCACAGAAATGCCACTGACCAAGAAGTGGGGAGAGCAGGATTCAGTTACACTGGAGGAGCCTGTGGAGTGAGGTAGGTGGAGAGTCGAGGAAGGAGCCCTCGGAGGAAGGGGAAACCAAGGAGCTGTGTCTTTAGGGGAAGAATCCTGCAAGGAGAGAAGAACACTTGTCTCCAGAGCCCTTGAGAGGCCAATTCACACAAGACCTGCAGCCTGAAGGAGTCTACTGGGCTCAGCAACATGCAGGTGCCCCCTGAGCCCATTGGCATCCCTCACTCCCCAAGCTGGGCCCCCAGCCCCTGCTCTCTGAGGGCAGGTCTATCCCCAGCACCAGCCAGTGGACCCCTGGCCACAACTCCCTTGTGGCCACTTGTAAGGAAACACATGGGACCACCTTCCAAACCCACACCAGAGCTGGTGTTGGTGGGATAATGGTGAGCATAGCTGCCTTCCAAACCCACACCAGCCACAGGCCCCTTGGCTGGGCAGAGCTCAGACCTGCAGGATCTTAAAGGCCATGGTGAAGATTTGGGTCTTTATCAAGGAGAAAGCAAAGTGCAGAGTGACACGACCAGATTTGGATTGTGAAAGAATCTCTGCCAGTAGCTTAGAGAACAGAAGTGGTCTGAATGCCCACGTGGCCGAATTCATCCACGGTCACCTCTTCTGTTGCTCTTTTGCTCTATACACAATTCCACACACACCGTTTTTAAATTCTTTCTGAATCATTGGGGATAATTGCAGACATTATGACATTTTACTGCTAAATATTTCAACATGTTATTTTATAAGAACAAGGATGTTCTCCTGCATATCCACAGTATTGTTATCACATGTGGGAGATTTAATTCGAATGCACTGCTATTTTTAATTTGCACTCCACTTCCAGATTTTGCCAATTGTTTCAGTATGTATTTTCTAGATCTAATCAAGGATCGTGGTGTGCATTTAGTTACTATATCTCTTTAATATCCTTTAAGAGTCTACCAGTCTTTTTAAATTAGTTTTTCTGTCAATGGATATTGATTTTTTTTTAATCATGGCAAAGTATACATAATGTAAAATCGACCATTTTAACCACATAATTTAGTGGCATTAAACATGCACAACGTGTAAACCATCACCACTTTCTTTTTGTTTTTTTCATCACCACTTTCTACTTCCAAAACTTTCTCATCATTCAAAGCAGAAACTCTGTATCTATTAAACATTTAAACATATAAACAAGTATTTTGTGAGGATTCTAGCATCAATGTTGGGAAAGGATATTGGTCTATAGTTTTCCTGTAAGAGTTGGAGAAGGATTAGCATTTTCTTACTTAAATGTTTGGTAGGGGGCGCCTGGGGGGGTTCAGTCGGTTGAGAGCCCGACTCTTGGTTTTGGCTCAGATCATGACCTCAGGGTCCTGGGGTAGAACACCGAGTCTGGCTCCATGCTGAGTGGGGAATCTGCTTGAGGATTCTCTCTCTCCCATTGCCCCTCCCCCATTTGTGAGCGTGCTCTGTCTCAAATAAATCTTTATTTTTTTTTTTAAAGATTTTATTTATTTTTCAACAGAGAGAGAGAGACAGCGAGAGAGGGAACACAAGCAGGGGGAGTGGGAGAGGGAGAAGCAGGCTTCCCGCAGAGCAGGGAGCCTGATGCGGGGCTCGATCCAGGGACTCCAGGATCATGACGCGAGCCGAAAGCAGTCGCTTAACCAACTGAGCCACCCAGGCGCCCCTCAAATAAATCTTTAAAACAAAAAAGATTCCACCATTGACATTGGGTAGTCTACTCTGTCTAGTTGTTGCTCTGTATTGGTTCTTAGTCTCCTATTGCTGCTGTAACTAATTACCACTATTACTAAGTTAGTGGCTTAAAACAACACTATTTATGATTTTACAGTTTTGGAGCTTAGAAGTCTGAAATGGTTATGACTGGACTAAAATTAAGATGCTGGCAGGGTTGCCCTCCTTTTTGGTGGCTCTAGAAGAGAATCGCTGTTCTGTTTTCCAGCCTCTGTGGACTGCTTGCATTCCTTGTTTCTCGCCCCCTTCCATCTAAAGCTGGTAATGACTGGTCAGGTCCACCTGACATCACATCACTCTGACACCCACTCTCCTCCCTCCCTCTTCAACATTTCAGGACCCTGTGATTACATTGGGCCCACCTGGATGATCTAGGACCTATAGCTGTAGTTCATTCATATGGTTCATTGCTGTGGATTTTTCTGTTGTGTGAATATAACACAGTTTACTCATTCACTTGTGGATGGGCATTTGAATAGTGTTTAGTTTTAGTCTTCACAAATAGTACTGCTAAGAAAGTTCTTACCCATGTCTTTTGGAGCATTTACATTGGGGTGTACCTAAGAATGGAATTGTCAGGTTATAGGGCATAGGTGTGGTTTTCTTTCCACTCATCCTGCTTAGAAAAACATTGTACCCATTGAATTTGTGTCTTATGAAAACTTCTCAGCCATTAAAACATCACTTCTCCTCTCACTCTACAATTAGATGTATGATGTTAGATCTTTTCACTTTTCCTCCATTTCTTCCCTTCCATCTCTTTTACCTTCTTTTCTCTCTTGTCGCATTCTGGATACTTTTTTTCCTATCTCTGTGTTCCGGATCAGTAATTCTTCCTTCAGCTCTGTTTAAATCTGCCATTTAACTCATTCAGTGAGGTTTTATTTCGACATTGCCTTTTTTTTTCTTCCCCGTTTCCAAAAGCCCTGTTTTGTCCCTTTTGGTCTGATCATTTTTGATAGTTTCTTGTTTCTTGCTTATTTTTTATTATGTAAACATTTTACAATTTTATCCTTAGTTTGTGTCTGATAATTCCAATATCTGAGGTTCCTGGGGGATCCAGTCTGCTGTTTTGCTTCTGCTGCTGCTGGGAGGTGGCTTTTTCCATGTATGTTGTGGTGATCTGTGACTGTGAGCTTGTGTTTACATGCTGTTCATCTCTGGGAATCTCCGGAACTGTAGTAGAAGATGCTTTCTGAAGAAAGGGCGGATACTGCTTTTGCTGAGACTTGGGAGCGCCTTAACTTGCTTCGAGGGCACTGCTCAATGCAGGCCCGCCCGGTGTGGTTTTTCCACGCTGCTGCTGGCAGTGCTGCCATAGGCCCTGGCCTCAGGGTGACCCTGTCTGTGTGTGGCCTAATGCTCACAGCCGGGGTTTCAGCATCTAGCCTTTTGTTTTATTAGGGGCCCTTGGAGGTTTCCCTCACCTTCTGTGAGGACAGTCACCCATTGTATGGTCAGTCTCACACAGCTCTAGCTGCTTGGTGTGGTGAGGGGGACGGGGTGGGACAGCCATCAGCTTCTCTGAGGCCCAGGAAGCTGAAGTGGAAACCGCCCAACACACGCAGCAGCACTGAGTCAGTTTGTTTTCCATCCTGGAGCCAGAGTGGCGATTCCCAAACACAGACCTTGTTTGCTTCTCTCCTCTGCTTGAAACCGTTTGCTGCTTTAAAAATTCCAATGACTTCCCTTTCTTTATTTTTCTCTTTAGTTCCTCATGAGATAAAATGAAGTTATATTTATGTGTATGAAGAAGACACTTATGCTTGGTATTATAAGCCTATTACATTAAACATAACAAGACCGTGTGGCTTTGAGTATTTTTAGATTGAAAAAATTAGAAGCTAATGCCAGTAGGGACCTATTGGCGGGGGGAACAAATGTCAGACCAGTGTCTATTTAAAGAATAAATTTCTAGGGCACCTGGGTGGCTCAGTTGGTTAAGCGACTGCCTTCGGCTCAGGTCATGATCCTGGAGTCCCGGGATCAAGTCCCGCTCGGCAGGGAGTCTGCTTCTCCCTCTGACCCTCCCCCCTCTCATGCTCTCTCTCAAATAAATAAATAAAATCTTAAAAAAAAAAGAATAAATTTCTAGGGTGGGGGTACCTGGGTGGCTCAGTTCGTTAAGCATCTGACTTCAGCTCGGTCCTGGGATCAAGCCCCACGTCGGGCTCCCTGCTCAGTGGGGAGTCTGCTTCTCCCTCTCGCTCTGCCCCTCCCCTTGCTCGTATGCGCTCTCTCTCAAATAAGTAAAAATCTAAAAAAAAAAAAACAATAAATTTCTCGGGCAGCAAATACAGGTTTTAAGCTGCCTCATTTGTGATCTTTACTGGTAAATTGCTTATCTGTCATATGTCAGTGGTGTTACCCAAGTGGAGATCTCTAAGGTATCAGAAAACAAAGGTGGCTCCAAGCAGACTTGGTTCATGTAGTAGCTACTCATGCTTGCTTTTTCCCACTGAGGGATCCACCTTGCATTAGGTCTCTCTCTGTACAAGGGATGTGGGCATCTCCCCAGTTTTCTCGTCCCTAGTGCTGACCTGAAGAGTGTACAATGCAGGTAGCTCCCACTAAAGAGGAAAGTGTGTTTTGGTCTTCTGATTGCTCATGTTCCTTAGCTCCATGCTAGAGTTCCTGGTTACTACCATGCCGTAACCTGAGGACCCACAGCCAGCATTGTGCGTTGATACCAGCCATGAGCACACTCGTTTTAGTTAGTGGTTGTGAGATGTGGTAACAGGTCAGCTGTAAACATGAAGTAAACAGAACCAAGGTGCTGAATACTCTTAATGAGTTGATTGTGTGATTGATTGTTTTAGAAGCTAAGAATGCTTTATTTTCTGTAGCTTGTTGCTTGGGAGATGCAAACCATAGGATGTCAGCAGTGCATAAAGGAAAAGGAACCATGTGCTCTGTGCCATCCAGAGATGATGAAGGATCCACCATGACTTCCACCTGCAAGACCATACTCATGTGAACTACATATGGTGGCCAGCTCCTGGAGTCCCCACTCTTACCACTTGTTTTCAATTTGTCATGCAGAATCGAGTTGGATAGGCTTTCTGAAGAAAACACATTGTTGAAAAATGAGCTGGGAAGGATTCAGCAAAAGCTTGAAGCTGCAGAAAGGACAAGTGATGCCCAGAGGTAAGGGCCCTGGCTCTGTGGTTCTGCCTGGACTCCAGTCTACAGCACGCTTTGCTCTCTGTACAATGAGCTTTGAAGGTGTTGCTGTGAAAAGTGGGGAGTGTTCAGGCGCCTAGGTGGCTCAGCCAGTTGAGTGTCTGCCTCGGTGTGGAAGGGGAGTGGCTTTCTACTTTCACTTCCATAGTCTTATCCAAGGACGGTTTGACCTTTTTTTTTTTTCAACTATGAAGTTAAAGATTATTAAAATATGGCATCCAGAGCAGGTGGTCAACAAGTGATTACTATTATATTACAGCATTTCTAAAATCTAAAAGTTTTTTCCCTTCTAGAAACCTTTGTTTCCCTGGACGCCTAGGTGGCTCAGTCAGTTAAGCATCTGCCTTCAGCTCAGGTCATGGTCCCGGGATCCCAGGATCGATCCTGCATCAGGCTCCCTGCTCAGCGGGGAGTCTGCTTCTCCCTCTCCGTCTGTCCCCCCCCCCACTAGTGCTTGTGCTCTCACTCTATCTCAAATATATAAATAACATCTTAAAAAAAAAGAAACCATTGTTTCCCTCATTTGCTGTCAGGAAATTTTACATTTTACAAGAGACATCAGCAGATACAAGGCTGTTTTCGTTCTATTTATGCCGCTGGGTGTGAACGGCCACATGTTTTGCTAACGAGATGTTACTGTGTGCGACTGAGAAATTCCATGGAGGTTCTTAGAGTACTGGCAGTGTTCCTCTGGTTCCCAGGGTCAGGGTCCCAGCTGGGTGGGCAGCAGCAGTGGTGGAGAACAGTGGCAGAGTGGTGGCTCTGGGGTCCCAGGAGCAGGCGTGAGAGTCTCTTCTGTGGCTGCACACCCCGAGCCACCACTGTTACAGGGGCAGTGACAGGGAAAAAAAGAAACTGGCTGGTCAGTGATACTATACATTTTGCTTTTTCAACAGGAAGGAAATCGAGGATTTAAAGAGAGACAGGGAAAAGGCCTGCTCTGAAGTGGAAGAGCTCAACAAACAGGTCAGGTATTGATACCTGCATGACGCTGACACCACTCTCCTTTTCTCATTATTTTGAAATAATTTCACACTTACAAAAAGGAAAGACAGAACTCTTTTATGAAAGATCTGAGAGTGAGTTGCCAACCCATCCGCCCCTTCCCCGGCTCAAAGTTGGGATGTTAACATGGGTGCAAAAGTGCCGTCTGAGCCCCCACCCCACTGAGCTTTGCCAGCTGTCCCCTCCCTGGCAGAAGCACGTGGCTCTCTCGGTCACGCCTTGGTTTTTAGGACCGGGGCACTTTTGAAGATTACAAGCAGTTCTTTTGTAGGAAGGCCCTCCGTTTGGTTTCTTTGATGTTCCCTTTAGATTATGCCTCTTTAGTGTGATTTGTCCCATTCCTTGTGATGTCAGCTTTGATTCCTGGTTAGGTGGTGTTGGCTGGGCTTCTCCACAGTGAGGTTACTTTTCCCTTTGTAATTGGTGAGTACTGTATGGGTAGATACTTTGACATTATGTAAATACCCTGTTCCTCATCAAACTCTCATTACCTTATTTTAGCATCCTTTGTTTTTTGCTGTGATGGTGGCCAGTTGGTAACTAATCTTATTGGTATTCTAGTATAAGGAAGAGCTTTCTTTTTTTTTTTTAAGATTTTATTTATTTGAGAGAGAGAGAATGAGAGACAGAGAGCATGAGAGAAAGGAGGGTCAGAGGGAGAAGCAGACTCCTTGCTGAGCAGGGAGCCCAATGTGGGACTCGATCCCGGACTCCAGGATCATGACCTGAGCCGAAGGCAGTCGCTTAACCAACTGAGCCACCCAGGCGCCCCTAAGGAAGAGCTTTCTTTTCTGTTCACTTATTTATTCATTCCATCATCATATTATTATCCTAGGATCCTGTTTAATTCAGTGGGTTATAATACATTACCATCAGTATTTATTTTCGTGTTCAAATTGTCCCAGAGTTGGCCAGTGAAAGTCCCTTCACAGTGGTTTCTGGGTCCTCCAGACAGATCCTGATCATTTTTTGAGCAGTTCCTTACTTTCTGGTACCCTCAGATATTCCATGTTCATCTAATACTTCCCCTGCCTTAGCCTGTAATCAGCTACCTCCCACAAGAAGTCACCTTTACTGTAGAATGGTGTTTGGGACCAAGACCTGGGCACCAGGAGTGCCCACGGCTCCTGGGATGTCACTACTTCCAGGCACACTTAATGGATAGAGCTAAGGAGTGTGTATGTTCTTATATACATATGCATATGGTTGCATGAGTATTTATATATATATATATATATATATATATATATAATCTCTACTGAAAATCGTGAATTCAAACCCCATATATGCAATTCCCACCTAACATCATGGGGATGATCCTAGTTTCTCCCTTTCCATATTTGTAACTCCTATCTCCAGCAGTGAGAAGCCTGCTTTCTATCTTCAGAAGATCTACTTACTGTTGATTAATCTCCCCTTACCCCACACGTAAACGCCCTTCCCACTCTGTTTCAGCACTAACCCCCACTGGTCCTTTTTTGCCCCCATACATAGATGCCTTTCATACTTGGTCTCATTTACTGGCTTTTGGATGAATTTATTTATTTATTTATTTATTTATTTATTTATTTATTTATTTATTTATTTATTTAATGTGTGAGAGGTTGAGAGAGAGACAGAGAGCACACGAACTGGGGGAGAGGCAGAGGGAGAAGCAGACTCCCCACAAGCAGGGAGCCTGATGTGGGACTCAATCCCAGGACCCTGGGATTATGACCTGAGCCGAAGGTGGAGCTTAACTGACTGAGCCACCCAGATGCCCTTTTGGATGCATTATTAAGAAGGAAGCACACAAGCTGGGATGTATCATTCTTGGGTTTTTTAATTCTTTTTTAATTGATATTGTTAGTGATAATTGCCAACTCATATAGTTGTAAGAAATATAGAGAAATCCTTAAAACACTTTGACCAGTTTCCCCCAATGGTAACATTTTTTTTTAAAGTTTTTATTTAAATTTCGCTTAACATCCAATGTAACATTAGTTTCAGGTGCACATATAGTAATTCAACACTTCCATGACAAGTGCACTCCTTAATTCCCATCACCTATTTTATCCATTCTCCCACCCACCTCCCCTCTGGTAGCCATCAATTTGTTCTCTAGTTGAGAGCTTCTAGGTTTGCCTCTATCTTTTTTTCCCTATGCTCATTTGTTTTGTTTCTGAAATTCCACATATGAGTGAAATCATATGGTGTGGTCTTTCTCTATTTCGCTTAGCATTATGCACTGTAGCTCCATCCATGTCATTGCAAATGGCAAGGTTTCATTCTTTTTTATGACCAAGTAATATTCCATTGTGTGTATGTGTATCTCATATCTTCTTTATCCATTAATGAGGGGATGTACACTTGAGCTATTTCCATAATGTAGCTATTGTAGATAATGCTGCTATAAACATCAGGGTATATATATGCCTTTGAATTAGTATTTTTGTATTCTCTGGGTAAATACCTAGTAATATGACTGCTAGATTGTAGGGTAGTTCTGTTTTTAACTTTTTGAGAAACTGCCATACTGTTTTCAACAGTGGACCCGCAGTTTGCATTCCCACCAGCAGTGATGAGGGTTTCTCTTTCTCCGCATCCTCGCCAACACCTATTGTTTCTTGTGTTGTTGATTTTAGCCATTCTGACAGGCATGAGGTGATATCTTGTAGTTTTGATTTGTATTTCCCTGATGATGAGTGAACTTTCCATGTGTCTGTTGGCCCCATCTGGATGTCTTTTTTAGAAAAATGTCTATTCATGTGGTCTGCCCATTTTTAAAAAATTGGATTAGTTGGTTTTTTGGGTATTGAGTTTTATAAGTTCTTTATATATTTTGGATACTAACCTTTTATCAGATATGTGATTTGCAGATATCTTCTCCCATTCCGTAGGCTGCCTTTTAGTTTTGTTGATTGTTTCCTTTGCTGTGCAGAAGCTTTTTATTTTGATGTAGTCCCAGTAGTTTATTTTTGCTTTTGTTTCCCTTGCCTCAGGAGACATATCTAGAAAGAAGTTGCTGTGGCCAGTGTCAGAGACATTACTGCCTATGCTGTCTTCTAGGATTTTTATGGTTTTCAGGTCTCACATTTAGGTCTTTCATCCATTTTGAGTATAATTTTGTGTGTGGTGGAAGAAAATTCATTCTTCTGCATGTTGCTGTCCAGTTTTCCCAAAACCATTTCTTGAAGAGACTTTTTCTCATTGGATATTCTTTCTTGCTTTGTTGAAGATTAATTGACCATACAGTGTAGGTTTATTTCTGGGTTTTCTCTTCTGTTCCATTGATCTATGTGTCTGTTTTTGTGCCAGTACCATACTTTTTTGATTACTAAAGCCTTGTAATATAACTTGTAGTCTTGAATTGTGATGTCTCCACCTTTTCTTTTTTAAGGTTGCTTTGGCTAGTCAAGGTCTTTTGTGGTTCCATACAAATTTCAGGATTGCTTGTTCTAGTTCTGTGAAAAATGCTGTTGGTATTTTGATAGAGATGGCATTAAATGTGTAGACTGCTTTGGGTAGTATGGACATTTTAACAATATTTGTTCTTCTGATCCATGAACATGGAATGTCTTTCCATTTCTTTCTGTCATCAATTTTTTTCATCAGTATTTTATAGCTTTCAGAGGACAGATCTTTCACTATGTTGGTTAGGTTTATTCCTAGGTATCTTATTGTTTTCGGTATAATTATAAATGGGATTGATTCCTTAAGGTCTCTTTCTCCTCCTTCATAATTAATGTAATGAAATGCAATAGATTTCTGTATGTTGATTTTGTATCCTGCAACTTTCCTGAATTCATTTATCAGTTCAAGCAGTTTTTTGGTGGAGTCTTTCAGGTTTTCTATATACAATGTCATGTCATCTACAAATAGGGAAAGTTTTACCTCTTCCTTGCCAATTTAGATGGTTTTTATTTCTTTTTCTTGTCTGATTGCTATGGCCAGGACTGCCAGTACTGTGTTGAATAAAAGTGGTGAGAGTGGATATCCCTGTCTTATTCCTGACCTGAGAAAAACAGCTTTTCCCTCATTGAGGATGATGCTAACTGTGGCTTTTTCACCTATGGCCTTTATTATGTTTCCTCTAAACCTACTTTGTTGAGGGTTTTTAATCATGAATGGATGTTGTACTTTGTCAAATGCTTTTTCTGCATCTATTTGAAATGATCATATGGTTCCTGTCCTTTCTTTTATTAATGTGATGTGTTACACTGATTGATTTGCAAATTTTGAACAACGCTTGCAACCCAGGAATAAATCCCATTTGATTGTGATGAATTATTTTTGCTATTGTTGGATTCAGTTTGCTAGTATTTTGTTGAGGATTTTTGCGTCTGTGTTCATCAGAGAAACAGCCCTGTAGTTCTCTTTTTTGGTGGTGTCTTTATCTGGTTTTGCTATCAGGGTAATATGGGCCTCATAGAATGAGTTTGGAAGTTTTCTTTCCTTTTTTACTTTTTGGAATAGTTTGAGAAGAATGGGTATTAACTCTAATTTATATGTTTGGTGGAATTTTCCTATGAAGCCATCTGGTCCTAGACTTTTGTTTTGTTGGGAGATTTTTGATTACTAATTTAACTTATTTGCTGGTTATCACTCTGTTCAAATTTTCTGTTTCTTCCTGTTTCAGTTTTGGTAATTTATATGTTTCTAAGAATTTATCCATTTTTTCTGAGCTGTCCAATTTGTTGGCATAGAGTTTTTCATAGTATTCTCTCATATTGTTTGTATTTCTATGGTGTTGATTGTTATTTCTCCTCTCTCATTTGTGATTTTATTTATTTGGGTCCTTTTTCTTTTCTTTTGATAAGCCTACCAGGAGTTTATGAATTTTATTAATTTTTCAAAAAACCAGCTCCTGGTTTCATTGGTCTGTTCTACTGGTTTTTTTGTTTGTTTGCTTAGTTTCCATATCATTTATTTTTGCTCTAATCTTTATTATTTCCTTCCATCTACTGGTTTTGGATCTTGTT